TCAATATAGTTTTTCCCAGCTGCTAAGCATTTTCTGATGTGTTTTTAATTGCGATGCAACTTCTCGATCCCTGTTTTGAGCAGATCAGACTTCAGGAGCTGATCACTCGTTACAGAACCGGATTGCGAAAATTGTGCTGTTAATCTAAACATTGATAAGCGTCTAGTGGTACTGTTTTTAACAGGTAGGCATTGGGTACGCACAGCGAACCCTAGCGACTTTATTGTTGAGGAGGTTTAGTCTGGTCGGCACTTCAGTTAACCTGATTGAGGATTTGTTACATTATGCTCGATTGCAATATTTCGTTATAGTGACGGACACGGTGCTGTGCAAAATCCTGTGCAGGCCTTTAGTCGTGTGGTTGAACTTTGGAGGCATGGCGATGACCCGCCGTTGGCTTCAGATTGATTTATATCCTCCAATACTCTTCTTAGCGCCTGCCATTTCGTTTCCTGTAGTGCACAGATGTGGATGCTTCCATCCTCCAGTTCGGCAGTGTAGCCAGTCAGTGTGCCGATTTTGAGCGTGGCAATTCTGATGGTTTTGGGTTTCTCCTTCCCGGAGGACGTCCTAGCCTACATGCCCACTACGGTTAATGTCCCAAATTTGGTCCATTACAAGAGGCAACTTAACTCCGATCGGGATACTTGAAAACTTCATTGATGCAGTATTTGATAGATCTTCTTTACGAGTGAGTTTCTGCAACCTTCTGTCCTCAGAAGGCACCCTTCGCGTTGACCGCCCATGGCCGCACCTTCCACGCGTTGTTGTGGCCGCGGATAGGATTTGTGGGAGGAGGTCATCCTCGTCCATCGCACAGGAATTCGCATGCTTTGCTGTTAATAATACAACCTCCCGCCCTTCCACCCTGGCTAGTGCCGGTGACAGAAATTGCTATATTCCTCATATCTGATCGCGATAGGTGGTCATGTCCTTCTATGCACTAGTCTGATATCGGGGAAGGGTCTAGGTACAGCTCAGGCGGGAGGGGGCATTCTGCTCTCCTGCTCCCTCCCACTGGTTGATTGACAAGGGTTGACAGGTATTCTTTACAAGGCTTGATAAATAGTCTTTACAAGACTTTGACTGGTATCACTTCATGGTTTCACAAGATTTCACAGGTTTCTCCTTGATGTCGACACGTCGATGGGGAGTGGTGAGAGAACAAAGTGACCCCCCAGGTCGAACTGCTCCACGGTCCATTATGGAAAATTAAGCAGCATGATGATGTACCCCCTGCTTGGAAATAATCCCTGGACCCCCAACCCTAACCCCTGGAGCCTAATGTACTGGTATTTTTCGAAAGGACAAAATCCAGCGGTACAGTGATCAGACGACCGCGACCAAGAAAATCGGACGTAATGTCGCACTCTGCTGCATTTACCAACGGCAGTTCTGCCAAGATAAGCATTGGAGCTAGGCGGGGTGGTCCATGATGGCGAGATAGATATCGATCCATGAGCACCTGTGCGGACAACCAAACCGGTTCCGAGGTAACATCCAAAAAACCGGGGAAGTGAAATAAAGTAAAAGTCGTCCTCAATAGTAATGCATTTTCGGACTTGTTTTTTTTGGAGGACAGTTATTACTTTTACACTTCATGGATGTGTTCAGTAAAGCTCGAATAGTCACTGTTTGTCATAATTCGTTCAAAGCACGCGCACGGTCGCGAAGCGATAAACTCTAGTCGGAATACATATAGGTATCCTGCTTCGCATTTTGATACGGTTTCACACTCCTTTCATAGCAATTTCTCGAAAATGACGATCACCAACAAAAGGGATGAGGTAGGTGCTGGGTGTTAATGATGCGTTTGGGTGGGGGGGGGGGGCGGAGACACAACAGCAAAAGATAAAAGCGCAACTCCGATGTTTGCCTTGGGGTTATAGCATCACTTGCTACTCGCGATGAGCACGGGGAACGAGGCGTGGCAAGAAGGGATGATGTGCGCAGGATTCGCGTTAGAACCCAGTCCACTGAACGCAACTCGACTCTCTCTGTGTCTCTCATAAAAACTAGCTAGGATGCCGTGATTACGAAATCAGGCTCCACCAGCTTCCTGTCCCGGTCTGTCGCTGAGCCTGGCGGGGGGGGGGTACAGTGTTGTTCACTGCGGAGCCGCAGCGTTTCGCGAAGCAGTGGAGGGGCTGGGCTTGGCGCGACGCTGCCCTCTTCTCCAACAGTTATCATGGCTTACCAGCTCGCCACAACTAGTGGAGAAGAGAACAGCCTGATGCTACGCGGAACTCAGCCCCCTGGAACGCCCAGCGTCTGCGGCGAACAAGACCGTACATCTATTTTGAGAGAAATAGGCGCAGGTCAAAAGGGAGAGGGCGCAGACAGGTAAAGCGCGCGTTTTTCGTTAGCCGTCTGGCCGTGAGACGTGTTGCGTGCACAAGGCCTCCTTTTCGAGAACCGATTGACGGATGCGGTTTGTCCCCTCGGACAGGCGGTAACGTACGTAAATCAGCCTGTTCTAGCTAAGTGACGCAACTAGCTGATGGAATCAGGTCATGGGGAACCTATAACGCCCCATGGCGCCATTGCTTTTCGCAGTTTCTGCTGCTTGCGCCTGAAGACTCTGGTAACTGACCACATATAAAGTACCCGTGAGCAACCACGACCAGGGACGTGACATCCAAAACTTTTTGTGAGGGTCCTGCTGCGGAAGGCTACAGCGCAGAGAAAGAAAGGACTATGACTGTCAAGGTGTCGAGAGGTACAAAAAAAATGTCGTCAGCTAGAAGATTGGTTTTTTCAAAGCAGAGGTCACCGGAGTGGATAAACCCTGGCCAATCTAGACAGCTTTTTCTCAGGCGTGACGCAGCTCAGCGAGGGGGGGGGCATTTTGCACTTTTGCTACTTCCCATCGACGTGTCGACCTATCTAGACAGCCTCGAGTTGACAGGTTTTAACATGATGGCTTGACGACCTTGCTCCAGCTTCACAAGAGTTCACAGGTTTCGCCCTCGTTGCCGAACTGCGCACTTAGGCGTGAAAAGTTGAAGTGAAAGGTCAGAGCAGTCGCGAAACGCCATGCACATCGGGGGCGCTAATAAAAAGCAGAAAGTTGACGCCATTAAAGAGAATGAGTGCTAGTTGTCCGTGGACCAGGACGAGTCGTGTCCCATTAATGAATGAATCTAAACGGGAGGTTACGGTGTCTCAGTGCGTACGTAGTCGCACGCTGTCAGACCCAATCGAGTCATTTAGTTAGGATGGCGTGCTTAGCGCGTCTATACCCTCGAACGGTTTTTGGGACTTTAAGGGAGAGCTTGCTACCAAACTCTGCAAGCTTCAGCCTTGAAGATACCCACCCCTAGAACGGAT